TCTCTATTACTCAGCCAGATTCAGAAATAATTCAGCACAACACCTTCAATTAACTACATTTACAATTTTGCAAAAGAACAAATTGCCAGGAAAAGGCATGAATGAAATGCAGACAAAGAAAGAGAGCACAATACATGTGGTCAAAAAATGTCTGCACACATGAAGGGCCAGAAAGGGAAAAAAGAGCCTTCAGCTTATGAGCCTTTGCCCAGACAAGCTGTGCTTTACTGCCTAATGGACAAGCTGTTATCGGCAATGAAATATCTTGGGTTCATTGATTTAGTTAACACATCTCACTTATGGGTGAAAATAAGAATTACAGTCTTTGTGCCACAGATTTTTTTAAAAGTTTGATTTAATGCCAGATTTACTTTGATATTTCAAGAGATTCCTTCTCTGGTTCAGTTACCTGCATAACATACTTCTGTAAAGAAGGAACACAACAACTTATAGAAGCTATCACCCAAAACAGAGAGGACAATTTTTTTCTAACAATCTGGAACTCCAATATTATTGTCTTTGGAAAAGTTATTTTATTTCTCTTTTTGCTTATAAAATTCTAATCTGAAGGTGGGTTACCTCCAGCCTTTTCCTTGAGAGAATATTCACCAAAAATACTGCTAAGGTGATGCATCTGTAAACAAGCATCAACATTTAAGTTAACAAGTAACAATTTCAGCAGCTCAGAAAAGCAGACTGCAAATCAGCTAAGTAAATCTACCAATGATGCAGAGGAGAATATTTCAGACAATTTTAAGAAATAGCCAAGCCATTGCCAAAAAGATGAAAAAGTAGAAAAAAATAAATTCTTACACAGGTAGATAGCAGTGGTTCCCTGCCAGCATTCCTGGCTTCCAGCAACAGAGGTCATCTCATCAATATAAAAAGACCAACTCCTACTCTATTTTTATGTGATAAGAAAAGTTCTTCAAGCAACAATTTCATGTAAACATACTTGTCACATCCACATCCTAAAAAGTGAGCATTTCTATATACTCATTTTTATAAAAAAAGCCATTTTAAATAACTTTCATCACCTGTACAAATCTTACCTGCTGCCAAAGATAGGTTCCCCAGAGGCACCCAGAGCTGAATAGTCCATGCCATAGAAATTCAGCCCAAGAAGAATTTTACTTCTCCATTTGGATTCTGGATCTAGCATCTGCACACAGGCTCTTACCCAGGGAAGAGGTGAATTTGGACCAGGCCTGTTGGATCGGTAATGGAACAAATAGCAAATTTTTATTTTCATGAACCCAAAAATCTAAGAGCCACATCAGGCAAGCTATTAGTTGTGCTTAATACCCACATTCCACAGAACAAAAGTGCTCTTGCTCATTCACCCAGGTAGGGCCTAAAAACA